GCAGACAATCAGCAGTGCAGCTGGCAGGGCTCCGGCATCTTTATCAAGCACTCACTGGCAGAAGAATAAGGTGTTCCACCTAGCAAGTGCTTTGAAAGCAAAAACGGCCTTGCTTTGAGCTCTCTGTGGAAAACCACAAAAGGACTGGCATAAAATTTCTTGTCAAGCCCAGGGTGACCTGGGGATAGCAAAGCCTGGACATGGTAGGTGAAGGGAAGGGAATGCTGTAAATCTGGTGCGAGCCAGTTGGTGCACATCCTCTATAGTTTCTCTACACTTTTATGAAACGCCTGTATCAAATTATCTGGGAGAAAATATAAAATCGTTGCTGATAGAGTTTGTAAACGATGCTTAATATGATGAATGATGACTAAATCTGGTCGTCTTTATGGCGCAATAAACTGTGCTTACTCAATCCATGCTTTAGGGATTTTTTTAAATTTTTGTAGGAATGGGAATGTTTTAAAACTCTGTAAAATATATATCTCTATTAACAACAGTGCCCCTGATAAGAATTTAGGGATGGAAAGCAAATGTTTTGTATCTAGAACAATACAGTGCTTAAGGCAGCAGATGTGATCCCTGGATGCATATACAGGAAAGGCATTATGTTCTTCATAGTATCTGGGGTCATTTCCACACACTTACAAGCTTTCACAAGCTTTCATGCTATACTCAGATTTGAAATGAGATACCATCAGATTGGAGACTGTTCAGAAATGGGTTACAAGAATGAAAGGAAATCTGTGCTACGCAACTGAAGACCAAAACTGCTGTACTCATGTGAGAGAAGTTATAAGCTGACTTGACGCTGTGTAAACACAGACAAGAGGAAGATTTTGGTAATAAAGTACTATTATCTGCTATGCTGGAAGCAAAGGATGAGAAAGGAAATTTATTGAATTTTCTCAATGACATAAACATGACTTTCATGAAATGAGATTTTTAAAACTGTAGTGATTATATCAGAACAACAACAACAACAAAAAGTCAGGTGTATAGTCTGTAAAACTGAATGCTTAGTAACTTTCCATGACTTATGTATTTCTTACTAAAGGAATATAAAACCTGTACTGACTTCAACTGCAGCATTTCCTCCAAGAAGGTCATGGAATTACGTCATGTACTTAATTTTTTTTTTTTTCTCCTGCTAAATTCTTTGGTTTGAATAAACCCAAAACCTGAAGTACTTATTATTAGTACTTAAAAATACATAGTGTTTCTATGACAACTTTTGACATACAAATACATAGTGTTCCTATGACAGAGTGACAACTTTTCTTGCCACCATTCCACCATTCCAAAGTATTTACAATTCTGTGCTTAATTCACTTAAAAAAAAAGAGCCCAAAATTATTTAGCTTGTAGTACAGCCAAATTTTATTTGATTTATTAATCCAAAGTTTCTAAATGTAATCTTAAAATCATATGCCAAATTTCCTGTAGCTGGTGATAAATTTCCCACAGGAATGAGTTTCAAATTCCTTGCCATCGTCTGTAACAAAGTATTTCTTTTTAAAACATAGGTAGGGCCACAGTCTGTTATTTCATTCTGAAAGGAAGTTGCAGGAGCAAGAGTATTTGGTTAGCACTCTGAAATTTATCACTGCTTGTGAAAGTATTTTGCACATATAAAAGTGATAATACACTTTATCACAGTTATTTGGGTGAAAGCCTGAACAGTCCCCCAGGAGCAAGAGCAGGCTTTCGATTTGAGAGGAAATCCTTATTTTAGTTGAGGAGAAAGAAATGTTGTAATGTGATCCAGCTTTGACTAAGATCTGAATGTTAAGAGGTTTTAATACTGGTAATGGCCAAGTACCTTCAGTTATCTTAAGGTGCACACCACAGCATTAAACATGAGTATGCAAAGATCTGGCAAAAGCTCCCTAAGCTATTAATACCTAGTTTCTAACTCTAAGCATATTCCAGCCCACTGACAGCAGAAATGGTCAGCACGCATTCCTACCACAGCTAAAAATCACCTAACCGTACAGTAATGCCTACAGCTTAGCTATCAATACTTGCATTTCATCAGACAGGCATTTCTTCTAATCATAATGCTTCCAAGGATTACAAAGTTCCAGGTTCAACCTTTTACTCAGGTCAGTGCTCTACAGAATCAAACATTTTCTCAGTGCCAGCTGGCGAAATTTCAGTGATTTCTTCAGAAATTTCAACATAACTGCATTTGAGTTGAGTAAGCTTTTTTTTTTTTTTTCCCCTGGACTTGAATTGCTCAACATAAATGCACCGTAAAATATTTGCTCTCAGATTCCACATAAAGCACTTGCAGAGTTCTTCTGGAGGTTTGGAGCTCTTTGGAAGCCAAACATTCCACAATGGTAAGTGAAAGGTTTAGAAGTTTTTTTCTGAGGCTACAGATAGCTATTTGCTTTAAAACTGTGAAAGAAGGGTATTTAAAAGAATCACGTAGTTACACATTTTTAAACATGGATATAGTCTATTAAAAAACTGTAAGATGCAAAGGAAGTAAGACATCTTTGTGAAAATTGCTGTGAATTTTGTTCTTTGTTTTGTAATTCATTGCAAGAAACTGTATACATATATGTCTTGGTGTTTTGCTTGCTGTTCTTCTTTTCTCAGAAATGTTTGTGTAAATATGCAGAATTTTGTAAACATTAAGGACCATACTTTTAAAACGTATAGATGTGAAATATAGTTTAAAATATAGTCCCTTTATAGTGAAAAGTGTAATGAACAGTGGTTTTTGTCTGTATTTCTCTTTTGATCTATCAAGTTGTGTCCTGTTTCAGCTCTTCAAGCCTCCAAATGTGTTTGCAGAATCTGAATCAAGTTAGGTAATGCTAAATAGACAGACAAAGCCCTATGGCCCAGCTTTCCTTTAATTTATACTCACATAATCCCCAAAGGTACGGACATCAATTACTACCTTTGATGAGAATCTCGGGAATGGCATAAGTTTTACATAAGAGGCAGTAGTTTCTGTAATATATGTAGATTCATAAATAAAGGGAGAAATCATCATCTACTTCTTTCTGTGCCTAAGCTTTCCTGAGGGCTTGTCTATACTCAGACAAGATTTAGTTGAAAAAAAAAGATACAGTATCTCATTCCACATTAATTCACCCACTTCCAAAGTCCATTAAATCCAGTTTGGAAGATTCTGTTCAGCAAGATGGCTGGTGGCATCCCCTTTTTAAGAGAGCAAATGGGAAAAAAAATCATTCCTTGCAGTGCCTTGCCCACAGAACAACACAACTCTGATGTTTAAATAAGAGCCCTCGGCATCAGTGTAACAGTAATAATCTCTGCCATTTCTAACGAAGGGTACTGTTTCTGCCAGTGCTTTCTTACCTGTTTGATATTCTTTGTGCTCAGCCTACTTATATGTGGGCCCTTTACTGCTAATCATCTGTTGCTTAGCTGACGTATCCTTTGGTTGTTCCAGCACAAAGCCAGTTCAGACAGCAATGAGACACCACAGACTTCCCTTTCTGTTTAGATTCTGGCAGGTCCAGAACTCTGGTCTTTAGAGAGAGGAGCATGCCCAAGTTCATCTGCCTGGCATTTCTAGCAGTAGCAAGATAAGGACAAATGTTGGAGCAAATAAAGGGTAGAACATTCACAGAAGACAACCCAGCAGAGCGAAAGAAAGATTTTAGTCTTTTCTATAAAGATGTGAGTGACAGCAGTAAGGCCTCTGGTAGAACTGGCCTGTGCTGTTGCAAACAGCTGAACCGGTTTGGACGAAAGCCACCACCAAACTCAAGATGGTTGACTAATATACAGCAAGCAGTATCCCATGTTGAGATCCTCTGTGGAAAGCCATAATTCCGTGAGCTCACAAACCCCTGGATAGCTGCACAGCACAGATAGCCCCACAGATCCATGTCAAATGCATGTGGAGCATCAGCAGAGACCAGCTGCAATGCTACATACTAAAACTTCATGGAAGAGGAGTTGCTTAGACAATTTTCCTTTGGCCAGTGTCATGGTTTAACCCCTGCCAGCAACTTGACCACACAGCTGCTTGCACACTCCCCTATCTCCCCGCCCCCCGTAAGGTACAGAGAAGAGAGGGAAAAGGGGGAGGAACAACCAAAAAAACCCTCATGGATTGAGATAAAGACTAAGTAATAGAACAGTAATGGAAGAGGGAAAAAATAATGATAAAAAATAATAAAGGTAAAAGAATGTACAAAAGTAAGTGACACAAGTCGCTCTCAGCACCCAATGATCGGTTGTCCAGCCTGTCCTGAGCAGTGAGCACAGATTCCTGCCCCCCTGCCAGCGCCCATTTATGTACTGAGCATGACATCTATGGTATGGAATAGTCCTTTGGCCAGTTTTTCCTGTCTATGCTCCCTCTCAGCTTCTATGGGAAGCTGAAACAGTCCTAGGCTAATATAAACATCACTTAGCAACAGCTAAAACAGTGTCCATTATCAGCATTATTCTCATACTAAATCCAAAACAGCAGCTACTAGAAAGAAAATTAACTTCATCCCAGCTGAAACCAGGACAGCCAGGCACCACGGAATAGCACAGGTTAAGAGAGATCTCCACCCCGCTGCCAAATTTGGAGAAATTGCTATACCCAAAAGTGAAGCAATGGGATGATATTCGGACAGTGATTTGCTGGAGAAATATCTAAATCTGACTCAAAGGCAACAAATAAAGCACTAGTAAGGGTCTGACATTGCTTTCAAGTGTATAATACTATTGAAGCTTTTTGTGATTTCTAGAGATTGGACCACGGCAGAGAGTGATGCTGCTGACACATTTATGTTGTATCATTTTGTCTTTTCCTACCTAAAGGAAAAAGTCATCAATGCAGTGAAATATCTGAAGTGCCCTTTTCCAACATTTTCATGTACGCATGAGGTTATTTCTAATTTTTGCTTCAGGTTCAGTGACTTCACATTTGAAAATAAAGATAATCAAAGTGGAATTAAATTCATGCCATGGGCTCTGTGTCTCTTTTACAGAAAAGCTTCCTGGCTTTCCTTGTTGCAATGGGCGTCATAGTGACACTGGGTGATGCATACTGCTTTACTAAAATGAACAAGCCAGGGGAGGCCAACAAAGGTAAGAAGAGGGAAGTCGTTCTCACCTGAGTGTTCTGTGGCAGCTCAGCTCTATGTGGAGCTGCCAGGAAGGGCTCAAAATACATGGGAGCGGGAGATGTCAGAAAGACATGAATAGGAGGTTCCAGCACCAAGTTGCCAAAAGTAGGGAAAAACAAAGTCTTCCCCTGGACCAGGTATGGTTGCAGCTATATTATTGCTATCGGTGGTAGGTTGCTATTGCTATTCCAGCACACGGAGCTGATGTAGGCGTTGAGAGTAGTTCTGAATAAAGTCTGGTGCCAGGTGGCAGACCTGGCTCTTTGATTGCTCACTTTCATCCCAGATCTGTCGCACTGAAACTGTCTCTAACAAGTGAAGAAACAAGCTCAGGCTCTCCAAATTGCCTGGGTAATAACCTGGAGAACAAAATGAATTCTGCTTTACTATTGCCAAGAAAAACATTTTCAGAAAACTTGAAATAATTTTTAAATTTTTCAGCCTTTATGTGGAGGCTTAAAGGACATGTTCTGATTTGCTGCTGTCTTATGCAGGCTGTATCCTGGATGGAAAACTATACCCCTTTGGAGAAATTGCGAGGACAGAAAATTGCTTCAGATGCAGCTGCAGCAAAGATGCAATGCGTTGCTGCTCCCTGTAAGTTTGAACTTCTTGCTTGCATCATTGCCCAAAGGAAGACTATAGCTTTCCATTTGCTGGGGATAAATGAGTTTCTAAGGGCACAAAAGAGCCTTTCCTCACCCATGTCACAGAGATAGGCCAAGCCACATATAGCTCTTGATCATTTGGATCCTTGGTTGTGTTTACCTTAGTCTGCTTTCTGCTGAATGGGAGTCGACACAGGTCCTTCCAGACACATCCAGTTGGTGCTTGCTTTTAATTTTGAGGAACTTGTGAACCCCTCTTACACTGCAGTTAAGTCTTTCCTTAGCAGGGAAAGTGGGGGTAGGAAGGAATTCATTCCATAAGGGACTTAAGCGAAGCTCCTCTAAAGGGCCTTTGATTACCTGAATCCCTTTCCAGAGGTGCTTTTCTCCAGCAAATATGCTGATCCTAGAGTGACAAGGCTCTGCTCTGAAGTATCTATCTCAAACATCCTTCTTTCCTCTTATCCTACCTTCTCAAAGGGCTAAAATAGCTTGATTATGATCATCGCCTTTGCTCAGGCGACGCTCTGTCAGGAAACAGCTACCGCATCCTAAACAAACTGGCAGTAATGAAAAATTAATGGAAAAGAGATGAAACATGCCAAGACCATGCTTATGTCGCACTGTAAAGTGCTGTGCTAGAAATCCCTATGCTAGTGCTGAGCATACTGGTACACCCACCCAGCGCAGTGCAGCAAGGCATCATTTGAGGCCCTGGAAGCTGTAGCTGTGTGGCACTCAAGCTAGCTAGGCTGGCCTAAGCCGTAGGTTCAGAGCTATCTCAGCATTAGTTCAAGCTATAATCACTGCACCACTGAAGTACTGAATCTTTTATTGCTCTCAATCTAACATTTGCTTTCTCTTTGCCAATGACAGCTTTCATACTCCTATTGGTTACGACAAAGAAAACTGCAAAGTTGTTTTCAACAAGAAAAGCTGTGACTATGAGGTGGTGCAGAAGAGTGACCCCTCAAAGGAGTGTTTTGTCTACTCTCGTGTGGGCTAACAACCCACCTGCTCCGAACCTCTCTGCACTGTGGAATTCCTCTCCTTCCTACAGGTGCTTTGCCATCACAGAGAAGCTCAAAGACAAGGGAGATCTTGTAAGAGAGAGCACTTTCAGCAGCTCAGTATACAATCTGCATAATCAGATACAATGTCTCATTGCTGTCATTACTTGCATTGGTGTCACTGAGCTTCTTTGCATACAATAAATCCAGATGAAATATCCAGAAATGATTCATAATGATGGTTCATTTTATGTAATAATAAGGGGCAATGTCACCTTCTTTGAGAAAGGAATGTATTCACCTCACTACTCCAACATGCCATGCACCAGTACCCTGGCACAACCCACTCTCATGCTTTGCAGGTTCTGTTCTAGCCAAGAGTAATTTTAGCTCACCAGGTGTCAAAATCTGCTATCGTTTGGAAGGGATGCACTGTTTGGGACATGCTGTGGAATAGCTCCTACTCAGGGCACACCTGAACTGCTGCAGGAGTTTTGGCAAGACGCATGCTGCTAACACCTGTGACCTCTGAAAAAACAGTGAGGGTGGAAGATCACCATCCTTTTTCTCCATCTTTTTCCCCTTCTTTTCAGCAATGTCATGACCCAATAGCAGTGACTGTTCCTCTGCATTGCCCGCTCTGGCCTGCTGCCAGGCATGCTCCTCCAAGCTCTGCTCCTGAAAGTCTGCACACACTGCACTGGTTTAGTGGTTCTTGCCCACACTGAAAGAGAGATCCAGATAAGCCCCTGGAGACACGCTTCTTCATGGCAGCAGAGCTTGAGGTACTAATAAAAGGCAGATGCCTTCTGTCTCTTCAGTATAAAAGTTCCCCACATTCCCTGGGGAGAGAAGTCCAGCCAGTGATGAGGTTCAAAACCAAATATCCCACTTGGCAACTGGTAATACCCTAAATCTGCCCACATATAGGAGACCAGGCAACAACACCCTGTAAAATGCTGCTTCTACACAGCCTCCTTGATCCAGAACTGAGTATTAAAAACCCACAACGGCCTGCAGTTAACTGTTGTATCGTTTGAAATGAAACACACCTTCCAGGACAAGTGGGCTGTTTAATGATGCTCCATAATCACAACAAGCCTGTTGCCTTGTAAAAGTATGAGGTTGCACACAGCTGAGCATTCTCAGGGCAGGGATCCTCACTTGGCCCCAAATCAATTGTCAGCCTATATTTATTCAGCAGGGGTACTTGTTGCTCAAGATGACCCGTCTCAAGCTCTGCAAGCCATCAGTAAAATCAGAAGGATTTAACGTGGTATGTTTTCTCTGGCTTTGTTTTTGGTAATTTGCCTATGAACATTGCTTGAAACTTCCTTATGGCTTCACTTAAGCTACCTCCTTTTGGGAAAAAAATCCAAGTGTTTTGCAAGCACTGGTATTACATTCTTAGCCTTTTAAAGATCTCCACACCACAGGCTGGATATCAGGCAATAACTCCGTGTTTCTGTACAATTGCTTCCTGCAAGGCTGAAAAAATGTGAGGGGCCAGAATAAGAGTCGGTTCAGCTTTTTCCAGTACAAACACTTGCATGTGCCTTTTTAAAATCTGACTTTCGTTCACTGATTTAATCATGTCATTCCTCAAAACTCCCCTAAACAGCAGCATATGGAAATGAAAGTTCTCATGTTGCTTAAGGTCTTCAGGTAAGTTTTCTCCAAAGAATTTTCATACCCTGCAGGAGGGGAACAGTTTTGAAATTTGTCCTGAATGACTGTTCCCCTTTTCTGCCAGCTCGTGTGAAAATTACACAGAACACAGCCTCAACTGGTACTTGAAGGAATGTTCTCACTCACAGAACAAAGAGCCGCAGCTTCTTAGGGGAACTAATATTTTAAACATAGGGATCCAAAGTCCTACCTAAATAGTTCACAGAACTGTTTCTTAAGAAAAATCAGTTTTCACATTTGTTTTTAAAATCTCAGTTTTTAAAATAAACATTTTTATCACGAACAACAGTGACTTGGAGGCTCCTCATGGGTTATTTTTTAATTAACCACAGAGAACTGCACACATCAGTATCAACATACAGTTTGTTGTAGTCTGGAACTGTGCCAAGTGATACTGGAATTGTTTCAGTATTCCAAGTTCTGCCCTACCATAGTCTTACAAATTAAGGCTACATTTTTCTTCTGAAAGTTTGTTTATTATATCATATGGTCACATTCATGATCTTAACACTGGCAGTTCCTCAGGAAGACTTCATATTTTAAGTGATTTACAGATACATAGCTCACTTTTACATTAAATAGAATTTAATTCTACTTAATACCTTATTTTTATCTTTATTTATTTATCTGTTATTGGGAGCCTTATTACTTCCTAGTGTCCCAAGTGTTCTGTAGGTGCCAATTTTCTTACAGATGAAGACGACTTTTTCAGTGCAAGAAGATTTCTCTTTTCCTGGCAGCACCAGTAAAAGCATAAGTGACTGAAACAAGAAATCTATCACGGGCTTTGGATCTCATGCTTAATATATTCATTAAGGTTATGAGACTGGCAAGAAACAGCACATTTGATCAATGTGATTAACACATCCTTCCAGAAGTGATCCATGGGTGGGGAACCCCATCTTCCACTGCAAAGGCACCTCCTCCACCACGTGTACTGGAAGGAGAATCTGAACATCCCAACACAAACAAGAGCTGAAACCAGAGAAGCCAGAAAATGGATTCTGGGGAGTTTATCAGGCCAAGGAGACGTAGAGAACTGATCTAGAGGCTCCAGAGAATAGTCAGGCTTCACCGAGATCCAGAAATTCCCTCCAAATGTTAAAAGAAAAAAAAAAAAAGCAAAGCAATCTTTTAGCTTCAACATGCAATTGCATTGGGTTTTCTATTGCCAGAGTTGCTGGCACTATTAAAACTATTTTTTTCCCCCCTAAATGAAACTATTTTAGCAACAAAGCTTAGGAATCTTGACTGTCTTTTGCTATAAAGTGGAAAGCCCCTCTACTGAGAGGGGAAATGCTTAACAGCAGCGCCACAGGTAATTTTGGGGGTTTGTTTTTTTTTTTTTTTGCATTCATGAGATGATCCAGCTGCAGGAACGCAGTACGATATATCACTCACCTTCTGTTTTGAATACTTGTCTTATTTGTGTACTGCAAAGACGAGGGTTATATGTGTAGGACAGCAACATGGAGAGGTACCAGTTCAGTTTTCCATCCTTCACAGCAATGAGACTGCTTGGTGGTTACTAATCAAATTTCAATTAATTCCTCAGAAATCCCAACAGAACCTCTTCAAACCTGAAATATTTTTGTGTTTGATTTGCTTGGTAAGACGCTGAAGAATAAGTTTTTGCCATTTTGATATTCACCCCTGTAGGAAACACCAGACAGGCCATGCAAGAGGTCCTTACAAACAACACATTGTTATCGTAAGTCCAGATTTTGGATTCTTAAGATTTCATAGCACTTGGAGTCAATCTGTTGATATGTATGTGATCAGACAGCCACGGCAGTACCATACATGCATTTGATCTGCAGCCTGTTTCCCATCTGAAGGAAAAACAAAAATAAAATTCTAAAATGTTAGCTGTTATTTTGTGAAAAAAAATGTACATAAAGTCTGTTAAATGTTCTGCCCTTTCAGGTGCTGGGATTCCTGTTTGCTTTCTCAAAGAGAGGGAAAGCGATTCTTCTAGCACAAACATGCTGTTAAAATACTTTCAAGAAGTAGTCACAGACATTGTGGGGTTTTTACAGCAGTGTTTTTACAGCAGCCTTTCCTGGGCTTCCTTCTCGACACCACTATGCAATGCACGCTGTTATTATGAACTAAACAGCCTGGGTGCAGTTCTGGTGAAACCTGCCAGAGATAACAGCCACAACAACCCTCTTTATGGTGCTCTGTTCTAGTTGCTGCCCCTCAGGAACAGACAGAAAGGGTGTAGGATAAGAGATGGGTGGAAGCAGGATTTTGTCCATTACAGTGGAAGACAGTAGAGAAAAAAACCTGCAACAACAACAACAAAAAAAAAACACCAAAAAACCCCAAACAAAACAAAACAAAATAATAATTAAAAAAAAAAAAAAAACAAACAGAAAAAGAAAAGATCCCAACAGCCAAGATATCCCATGGATTTGGCTGGAGCATTCTGCGGCTGCCCACCCCACCCCAGTCTGCTCTGAGTCCATGCAGCAATAACATCCAACCACTGAGTTTTGTCTTCATGGAATCAGTGACTAACAAGTTTAGGAAATAGAAACAAGCTCATGCTCTCTAAATAGAGCTGAAATACAGTGTAGGTGGGATATACACAAAACTAACTGAGCTTCCCCCCAAAAAGCCCAGAGGTCACTGAACTCAGTAACTGACAGTATAAAACTGAGGTTAAGCCTCCTTTCATTTTGTGCATGCACGTGCAGGTTGTGTTAAAGATTGAAGACTGCACCACCTGAAGGACCACAGGTGGGCTTCCAATGCTGGTGTGGTTAGAGCAGGGTCCACTGTTGCACCATGTAAGTACCACGAAGCCAGAGGCACTGGTGGCAAGAACTACAGCAACACTCCTGCCCACCACCCTGCCTATAGCTAACTCCTTACATCACGCCTCCATCAAAAAGTCTTTGCTTTTTCATAGACTTACTATCTTCATTTGCTTAACCAGTTGCAGGGTTAGGATAACAAGCTGTGTTAGGAATTGCTGTGTTTTTTAATTTCTGGAATAAAGTTTTCTGTCATTTTCTGACTCACTAAAGATTTGGTTACCACATGGCTTGAGTTGAAAGTTAGAAGTGTAGGAAATACTGCATTTCCCATGAACTGGAGATGTCTTTTTGGCTAGCTCTGTGACTCCCACCCATTCTGTTTTACTGCTTCAGGACTTTTGTCCTTGTGGCTATAGTATCTGTGGCTATCTTCCTCAGTGCTACCCGCACTGCAGAGATGGAGGTCTCCTCCTTGCAAACACAGCCTGGCATTTGTGGCTGGTTCTTTAGATCTTCTTGTCTGTCTCTATTTTCCTTGCTTAGCACTGATTCTTCATCTGGGAATCATGAGCTGACAGGATTATCCAGACTAGCTGAGGAAACTACCACGTTTTGAAAAAAAAAAAAAAAAATGCATTTGCACCTTAGCAAGAGGGATCTTTGCTTACCTACAGAACTAAACGGGGAAAAGAATGAAGTGTTTTCGTATCCCACTGGAATTGCCTTAAATTAAAACTGAAATTTGGCCCAGGGTTGGGGACTCAGCTACATATGGAAGGAGACAGGGGTGTTCAGATCAGGGGAGAAATGACATTGTTGTCTCCAGCTTGGGCCTCCCAGCTTGAATTTAGACCTCAATTCAAATTTCTGCTATGCCACGTGTTACCTGGGACAAGTCACTCACACCATCTGTGCCCCTTCTCTGTAAAATTAATACAATTTTTTGCTAATCCCTGTACCAGGAGAGATCTGAGGGCATTGGCTTTGAGGTTTGTGGGTATATGAAACTCAGAGTTAACAAAACTATTCCCACCAGGTAAAACTTCCTTCTACCACATTTACAATATGTTTCTGTGTCAACAGTGTACTGTATATTTCAGTACTGTTTGCTTTTGATTTTCCTTAAAACGGTTGTCCTTTCTCACATGCATGTGTGGCAGACTTTGTTTAACAATTGTAAACGCAACGTACATTATACATGGCATTGTCAGTTTAAGGACAGGACGAATTTATTTGTAAAATTATGTTTACCTATGATCTGTGAGCTGATATGCCTCATGCTTCCTCTTGCTTTCCCCCTCCCAATGGCAGTGGTAGTCAGCCTATGGGTTTTAATGACTGGATACATCAACCTTCCATAAGAGATCCTGCAATTACTCTCTCCTGCAGAAAGCTGATCCCTCTCAAGAAGGCGAAAGTAGTACTAAAATACTGGGTAAAGAAACAAGGTTCCTGGGCTACTTTCATTCTAGTGTATCTCTTCTGGCTTTAAGTTGTTCATAGCATAATGCTTTTCACAGATATTAGCTAGTTTGTTGTTTGGGTTTTTTTTTATCATAACATTACTGCTCTGAAATCATGCTATATTTCTCTCTGTTGATTGCCCAGTGCTGGAAGATACAGAAAAAACAAGGCTGAAAATCTTGCATTACTCTCATTAACTCTATGGTCATCAGTGAGATGTAACCCAAAATCCCCAGTGGAGAATGGCTAAGTAAAATAGTGAGGTAAAACTTCAAGAAAGTCCCCAAGATTTTCCCCACCTGAGAAAAAAAGACGATACTCTGTTCAGCAGCATAAGTGGAAAGAGGGCACAGAACTGGGCACAGCACTGATATTCTTAGGACGTTTTTAATAAGAAACAAACTGGTTGGGAAGACAACATGAGATTTCAACAGAGTACTGTCTGTTGGAGATACCTGTTCCCCACACAAGCAAGGCACTTATCCAGTACACTAACATGAAGAAAAAACACAACATAAATATGGGCCACAAATGACCTCTGTAATCAGTATATGAAAGGGCTATCTACACAGAGTTTGCTGTTCTGAGTGGTTTCAGCACCATGGCATATTGTTAGAGTCCCCTGAGTTCACAGATCATGTGAAAAACTTCTCCACTGTCCTTCGACATCGCCCAGGCTTAGACAGGTCGCTCCCTGCTGCGTTCCAAAGCAAGCTGCTTGCAAGAACTTCTCTCCATACCTGGCATAGCTTGCACCTAGAAATTAGGGAGGGCTCTGCAATGGGAACAGCTGGGTGGTCACTACTTGTCTGAAAAGTTGAGAAAGAGCGCACACATATGCATTGGTTGGATTTTTGTTTTTTGGAGTTGAGCAACAAACGTGTTCTCTGTCACTCAGCACCAAAACCAGCAAGTTGACTGGGTTTTGGCTGTAACAAACTCCACAAATTTCACTCCAGCGCGCCAGCATCACAAATTGCTATGTCTCTGGTGACTTTTGTTCACATACAAGAACTACTGCAGAGTGCCTGTCAAGCGAAACATCTCATGCAAACTTCACAACGCGCAAGAAGAAAAAACTGAAATGGCTCAGTAATATTAACAAAATTAGGAGAATGTAGTTTGATGGTCCTTTTCTTCCAAACTACCATGGAATGCTTGCTCCAGATTACCTTTGATGACTTGGAGGAGCCAATATCTTGAACAGGACTCTGGTATTTCCCACAGTATTTTCACCCAAGGTGAAATAGTTGCTTCTCAGCACTGAAAGGTTACACAAAGCAGGCCTGCGAGGCTAGGGCCCATCCTTACCCAGCCCACAGATGGAAATCATTTAGGTCAGGCAGCATAAGAACAGGGCATCAGAAGGGAGTGTGAACTCTCTCCATCTTTACTGCAACCAACACAAAGGGCAGGGTTGACCTAGGATCAAGGTGTATTACTTCGTTATCCTACTGAGCTTTTTTCCCGCCCTTTAATAGAAAAATGCATATGCTCTGAAACACTGACAGTATCCCCAACCACAAGCTGTTAAATTGGCTTCAGACACATTTGTGAGATCCAAAGGGGACAGTTGAAGTCTGTTGATGACAGTAAAGAAGTTCCCTGTGCCTGTGCTCATGGGCTGACACGTTCTTATGATTTACCAGTCAAGGGCATGACCCATGTGGCTGTGGTGGCCAATCACCTCCTGTTTCAGGGCATTCAGCCCTGCCAAATCTAACTTATTAATGATAGGCTGACTGTGGGCAGCTTTATCCAACTTAAGATTACCTGCAAGCACTTTAGCTCTTTACCACCATCCTGAAGAGATATCTGGTGACTGAATTAAAAACAATTTACCCAACCTACTGAGTTGAAAGCCAGCTAAGGCAGTCCCCGTGAGTGATAGTCTCACTGTGGCCTGCATTGCAATATTGCTGGCTTTCTCACATGGACTTTCTGAGCTAGCTCTCAACTCTGGAGTCTGGGTAGAAGATATGGAGTAGCCACCCAGCTTGGAGTTCAACCTCAACTCTCAAACCCACACAATAAGGCAGCCAGAGTAGTTCAAGTATTGCGAACTGTGTAGCCCTGGTAATAAGGGGAAGACTACTTTCCCTATCAGGGCTACAAGGATCGCAATATTTGAACAAACTAGATGTAGTTGACTCCTCTGTTGTCAAATTACTGTCCTAAACATTTGGAAAGTGTTTCTGTCCCTGGCATGTACAGCCTCTACAGAAAAGGGACAATTTCTCCCCAGCTACAAGGATGAAGGAAGAAAATATACGATACTGATTTTTTCCCCACTCACAGAGGACCTGAGCATATGGGTCTTCCACATGAGGAAAAACTAAACAAGGAAGAAAATTAGGACCCTTTTCTCAGGGCCTACAGGTGCCACCCTCTCTCCACAACCCCCCCCACTATATATACAACCCTTCCAACCCCCACTCATTTTCCACAAGAGCCTTCTTTCATCTTAAGCTGATGAACAGGGAAGCTGAATGATTGTTCAACGTTTGTCTCTTAAAACCTAAATGGTTCAAAGTGAACATGCAAATGTTATTGTGAGTGACAACCACAAACTCCCAGTCTCTAAGAGGTTTCTCAGGGTGAGTGCTAAATATTCCTTCCAGGCTTGAAATTCTTTTTAAAGTACCTCCCACAAGTGCCTTCCAGATCTGGTGTGGCACAAAAGCCACACCTGTTTCTTCAGTGCCTTTCAGAACCAAATGTCCCTGTTTATAATTGCCTTATTTTAATAACATCCACCCAATGAGGTCATTTTGCAGAAACCTCATTGGAGTTATTCAGGCATGTTCAGTTTGCTCAAGGACTGTTATCATAAATTCCCTCTCTATATAAGTTCTCTGAGAAGATGAGCTTCTTGCAGATTGTCTCCTTACTGGAAGCCTCATAATTCTGCAAAAATGGTGAGTCTTTACATCTTATACTCTGAAAGACCATGGCACTTTGTTATAGATTTTAAAGGAAGTTCTGATGGATTTATCTCAGCACTCAGAAATCTAAGAAACTTGGAGAAAGTAGAAATTCTGCATTTTGAAAGCGGAAGTCAGACAGATAGGCGCAGGCAGGTAAGAACCTTGGGTAAAAGATATCAGCACGTGTATGGCAGGAGACGTCTAACAGGACTCCAGCTAGGGCTTTTTATTATAACCAGTTTTCACTTACATGTAATATTTGGAGGTAATCTCTTTTCTGTCAGAAAGCAGCTCTGTTGTGTCTCAACCTGGAACTGGCCTTCATTTTTGTGAAAAGTCTGGATAACGTCTGAACATTTAGTTAAACTCAAAACCATTATCTTGATTTTTACTCATTTGCAGCTCTTTTGCAGTTCTGTGGGTTTTAACCTCTCATCTGCAAAACTAAATGTAGTTTTTCCTCCTCCCATCTCTCAGATATGACTTCTTTTTATAAGTCACTAGTTCTACCCTGTCCAAAACCCCCAAGTATAAATATATTATACATGTGTGTGTATGTGTCATTGTTTATTGCTGGTCTACCTTTCCTCTCTTTCCAAGATGTTAAATTCATCACAGCTAATTCCATCCTAGAGTTCTTGCGCTTATTCCCTTCATATTCCTAGTGAAACCCCTTCGCACATTTCGAAAGAATATTGAAGGATAAGGGACTCGCGGAAGAATTTAAGCTGAACTTCCAGACAAAGCTGTTGACAAATGTCATAAAATACAGAATTATCTAGGTTGGAAGGAACACCTGCAGGTCATTTGGTCCCACCTCCTGCTCAAAGCAGGGCCAGATCTTGAGAGTTCAACTTCAGCTAAAGTTCTTCAGCTTGTTCCTAACTTCAATATTAGGGTGAAACATCCAGTGGGTGCTTCAGACTCCAGTGAAGAAGTTTTTACTGAGTGAGCTTAGTGGCAGAGACAGTTGGTGACTAATCCTATGGAGAAAATAGTGACAATAAAAATGAATAGGGAAGGACAAGGAATAGAACACACTCACAAACAGTATCTGAGTCTATCTATCTTGTATTAGGCAATGCTTGATTTTAACAGCTTGGAAAGACACACTTTTTTCCCCCATCCTGAATGATGCTCTGCCTCTGCTTCTTCTAAGTATCTCAGTATTCCTGACTGTGTGTTAAAGTGTCTACATTGCAAAAGACAATTGGATTTTGATTTGAAACCATAGTGTATTTTCCTATTTCTAATGGTAGCATTTATCACCAAGATATCTTCAATAGTTACTGAAGTATTCATATTAATTCTGCTTTCTTGTTCAGAAAACCATCTTGGCCTGCCTTCTTGTTCTTGCCGTTAGCGTGGCACTGTCCAATGCTTCCTGCTTCCTTCAGCCATTGAAGCCATGGGTGTCTGGTGGCGAGACCATAGGTAAGAAGTCAACTGTCCTCAACTTGACAGATACCAGCACAAGCACTGCCTGATTTGATTTGTCCATTCGGAGCAATTTATCACAATTTAGAAATAAGTGGAAGCAGTGGAGAGAAACCACTAGGAAATGGGGGAGAAATTGGGTATGGAGAGCAGAGATTTTATAATATGTTATAAAAAAGAAGAGTTTATCTGAGGAGCATGACACAGGCCAAATTACAAGTGAATTTTGTCCAGGGAAGTAGCATAAGCTTAGTTTATCCATCTGCATGAAGTATCAATTCATATTTTCACTATGGCAACATATTTAGAAATATATAAGGGAGGTAAAGGGCCTTTCACTATTTGCGTGTGGTCAGGATAAAGCAGGAAACAGATTGGCAAGGGTTCAGCACACTGATCAATTTACTCATTAGTTGTTTCCCTATCCAAGGACAGTTCTTCAGGACAAAATAGCTGCTCCCCTTGAGTCTGGGGCTGCTCTTCCTGAACACAGCTAGGCTACCAGTCTACAGATGGCTGGAGCTGAAGGAAAATACGCACTCAAAAGAAACACACAATTATTTGAACACAAGAGCTGATTTGAACCAATATGTAAAATAAACCAAGTGCCCCAAAACAGAGCTTTTTGTGGGAAAGCTAGTGCTACTACTAGTACAAAATGAGTTACCATTGCCAAAGAAACAGAACATATTTATGGGCAAAGACACAACCTAGAACACCCAAATCCTCCACTCTGTCTTGTCCTGTCTTCATAAAATCCTGCTTTCCAGATCACTCATTTAGGAAGTCTATTCTGTAGACTGTTGGGCAGGGATTTTATATCCAATATGTGCTTTCTTCCTGCAATTTGGGATTGGGGAAAGTTTTCTGGGCAGATTTAGTCTTGCTCTAAATGAGGAGTCAACAATAGTTGGTGTTAATGAAGGGAGAAGTCAAAGCTTTTTCTTAATTCTGACCAGGTCTGGGCCTAGTTTCCTTTCTGCTGGGTGCTTCGATTCCTGTACTTAAAGATGAGCTACTCCAGGAAAGCCAATGCTGCCAAGAACCACAGGAAAAGGGGGGATGCAGGATACCCTTCTCCATGCATTAGATTAGTAGCAGTCCAGCTGTCGTGGTGTCCCTTCATGTTTTCCAGATAAAGATGTTAAAGTAAGAAGCCAACAAAGATCCCAACTGTTTTGTACAAGTAATAACGTTGCGCACTATGTTTTCAGGCTGCCATGACTTAAATGGAGAGGGGCATGAATTTGATTCCAGCTGGAGGACCATAGACTGCAATGATTGTTCCTGTTCCAGGGGTGGAATCAGATGCTGCACCGCGTGAGTTCAGAGTGGCAGTGGGGGCTTTCCTCTGCTGCCATGATGCAGCACAAAACACTTCCCGTGACCCTTCTTTCTATGTCACAAAGTTAGGGGTTAACCCAACACCATCATCACTGAACATGCAAGAAGTTCCTCTGACAAATATTCTTGATTTTAAAAAAGGACTTAATTCTTCTTGGGGCTATGATTTCAGGCAAGATACTGATTCAAGACAGAATATGTAGTTACTTAAGAATTTTCTACTGCTCATAATCCATGTCTTCCCAAAGCCACACATAGCCCCTCTTTACTCCGAGCAGCAGCTCAAGATACTCCAGCCTGTCTGTAATTTTTACTATAGGGACACCCAACTACTCATGCAATTCTTGTTACATATTATGGCTGAAAAGGAGAATCAATGATATTGGAGTAGCAAATAAATACAACAAACATCCCTTTGGTATAAATCAGATCAGTAAGCAACAGCTCTTCCCTAATCCTGCTTAAGCAGCAGGCAAAGTAGCTTTTGAGCTGGGAGCACTGTCTGAGCTCCCTTTTCTGCTCCTTAACACCTCTTCAGTATAGCCTCTTCTTATTAAAAGTGTAGATACCATCTCAAACAGAAGCTGTTTACCTCTTGGTCTCATCACCTCTTTGTCTTTCTTTTTCCAATGACAGCTATGTAAAACCAGTTGACTACGACGAAGAGAAGTGTGTAAGCATTTTCAACAAGGAGACCTGCACTTATAAAGTAGTGGAGAAAGATAATCACTCAAAAGAATGCCCAGTCAATGCGTGGGTGGGCTAACAGAAGATTATGGAATGGGGAGATATTTCCTTTTTTTTTTTTAAGGGTTCTCTCACAAATTCAAAAACACTGAAAAATGCAGCTATTGAGTGAAATCTACTCCTAAAGCATAACACATAATAACACTGAATATCTACTCACAAAAGACTCCCTTCGTTTCTCTGCCTTCTGCTTCTCCATGAAGAAAGAACTGACTTGCTCCTTCCTTGAGAGCAGAAATTAAAGCTGACATTTTAAAGCATCCTCAGTAGCTGCTAATTTTAATTCTTCTCCAGTCACACTTCAGTGCCAGGGAGTATATTCTGTTATCTGTTCACAGCTGTATCTTAAAGCTAAAATAAAATTAGATGAAGCATCAGAAATTCATATGACATTTTCTTCTTTGAGGATGGAAACCTAAAGAATTAACGTTAAAAAACCCCACCCAAAACATGGGAAAGAAATGAAAAGCAACTTAAAAATCTTTCTGAAAACTCTCTTTTCTAGGACAATGTCTTATATGATGATCTTTTATCCTATATGGTTCCCTGGAGCCTACCCAACCTATAAACTGCAAGAGCCACCAGCTACTCAGTTTGACCCAGCTTTATACTTCCATTGCACCCACAGCACAGCAGATCCAGTCCTCAGCCTGGGGTTTGGGTAAAAGAAAGGGTCTTTTATTCAGAATAACAGTTAAGAAATTCAAGTTGTTATATTGGCCAATGGGCAGGACTGTGGGTGAATGGAGAGACTGATCTGGATTGGGCTCAAACAGGGAAGAAGCTCAGCAAATCCACAAACAATAACAGAGGGATATACGTGCTGGTATAAGCTCTCCCTCAGGGCAATGCTTCGTAATCTTTATGGGTATATTGGTTCAGTTGCCTCTTTGCACAAATGACTATGAGCATCCTCTGTCCCCACGTTCTATTTCCCCATAACAGAAAGAGCGTGTCAGAGCTTCCATAGTTCCTCCTTTCAAACTATGGAATGAGCACGTAACTTGTCAGCAAGGCCTGGTCTTGCTGTCCGCAGGGGCAAGGCAAACCTCAGCTTCTATCAGCGTTGACCACACGTGCTCCGGTAAACAACACAAGACCCTAGGAATTACACCCCAGTGTTTTATTCCACATCTGCTTCCCTTTCTCCTTCCCCAGGAAGACAACCTTCTTGGTTATGCATTTTTTTTTAAATTGCCTGCCACATGCCCTCTTGGAGGAGGACCCACAATAATGTACTTTATACAACTGTTTACAAGCCAAAGCTGCTAATGCCACTGTGCAAATAGACTAAAGGTGTCACTAAACCCATAAGGCACGTACATCAACAGCAGTAACAGTTACATCTACTGGGAAATTACATCTGCAGGGTTCTGCATGATTTGAACTGCATCTGTCCCACTTTCTCCTTTCTAGGCTACCAAAAAACATGCAACACCAGTTGAGGTCTTGTGCTCCACATCAGATAAGACACAGGTTTCAACAGGCTGCCCAGGAGCATGCGTGAGATTGGGTTGTAACTGAATCAACGTTCTTGTGAAGCCCAGGAAGATGCTGTATGTAGAACTTCAGAGCTTAACACCCAAAATACCTTAGTCTGAGAACAAGGGATACCTCTTCCCTCATTATCTTTAGACAGTGGCATTTTGATCAAGTGCTTACCAGAGCTAGCTCGACAATTTGCCTGTTACAACACCAGTTTATTTTGTAGTTTATCTCCAAACTGACCTGAAACTGACAGCTGAAATAGTTTTTTTGTTTTCTAACATCTGCCCTTATCTGGAAGCTACTGGGACCTGTTTGTGGTGGATTTATGCAGTCAATTATAGTGCATTGTGGAACAAGCTTTGTAACCAACTATTTCGGCACATGATTAATTTCTGTCTTGATCAGATGTCTTTTAGTGATAAGGAACTGTTTCATAGAACCAGTCAAAAAAAAGATCATAACACTACTCAGAAAGACTACAAACTAGAGAATACAAAGACTAAGAATATAAACAGTAACCAAAAAGTAAGATGCTCTGATGACATTTCTGAAGGCAGTGGTATAAACTTTCTCAGTATTTGCAGAGATATTCTGAGTTCAGTACAGAGACACCTGCTTCTGAACCCCTGAATTATTCCTTTTCTGCAGTACCATAGCCTAAACTGAAAATGTTCATGACTCTGGAATTGTGACCTGCATTTTACTGAAGCTGAGCTTTGCGTTTGTTGTCTCTGTATACAAGAAGTCAAGTTCTGTGCAGTCTTCCAAAAGATGAGCCCATCTTCATCCCCTCCTCAGTTAATTTCTTTTCTGTGTCACTAAAGTCTACTAATTTCTTTTTCTCCAGTGGTTTTGAAGGCACCAGTCTTTTCTATTCCACTGCAGGTCATGATCTAATCTCTGAAACAGACTGAAATCCAGTGAAATCCATTCACCCCGAGCTTCTCGCTGTGTGTTTAAGTTTGCCACTTTGAGTACTCTCAGACAGAGTAGAAGCAGATGAGGCATCCCGTTATGTGATGTCTGAAAATTGTCCAAAGGCTGGGACCAGTACAGCTCCTGAGTCATTTCAGATGGACTCTACCCAAGCATCAAGGCCACGAGAGGAAGTTTAAAAAGTAAGCCATTATTTTATCCTGTATTGCACAGGCACTATCAGCGTACAGACAGGATTCGTGTTCTCAGACGTGAATCTTGCTGTTTTCAGCAGGTAGTACATTCAGATTCACAGCCTGTCCCAATATCCAACATAGAGGAGCAAAAATGTTTGCCTGCCAGGAGGAGACGGCATTTGTGAGGCCATCCTGTTTTGCTATAGGAGAATGAAGTGCAGAGAGATCAGTTTTTGAGCTTGGGTAATAGATTTCAACTTTTTTTTTTTTTTTAATACAGCATAAAGGAGGTTTTTCCTCTGTGTTATTGCCATCCCAGCAGCAGATGCCATTTGAGCCCTGCTCAAAGAGGAGCCCATTTTCTTATTAGGTTTATTCTTGCAGTAATAAGCTGCCTTTACCTCAGAATCCAGCTTCCTAGTTGGTTTAATTCAGTGCACGTACAGGTTGATAGTTTTCTACTTGCCTCTAGCTACTGCCTTCCTTATTCTAGCACCAAAATATTGTTTTCCAATATTCTGGTCCATCTCACTGTTCTGGATGACCAGCTCTGATCCCTTCAGTACCTGCCAAGGATGCTGAAGTTGGGTTAGAACCATTTTGGGACTGCACCCACAAACTTGCACATAGCATCACAATTCACCAGCCACAAAGCACATCTGTTTCTTGGGAAACCTTTGGTTGACAGCGTGACTGCAAGAAGAAATACTACCTTGCCTCTTCTTTTTCTGCTTCCCACTCTCATCTGCTTGGAAAGCTCAAGGCTTTCCATTCACAAAACAATCTATCCACATCCAGTGACATTGCTTGGGAGACACTGTCCCCATTAGCAGCTGGGTCATGAGCCTGTTTACCTCCCTTTGCATGCCTATGCTAAGACACAGTGTATTTGAAGGGGTCTTCTACTGACAGCATGCCTAGCACAGACTCCAACACTTTAGGTCAGAGGCTAAAGGACTTGGAAATACTTTCCAAGAAACTACTGCACCATGGTGCATTGGAATTATAGGGTTGCTATTTCTAGTTTCCAGAGGTGACACAGGAAGAGTAGCAGCACGAATGGACTTTTTACCAGGGCCCGTAGCGGTAGGACGAGGGGTAACAGTTCTAAACTGAGAGAGGGTAGATTTAGATGAGATATTAGGAGGAAATTTTTTACTGTGTGGGTGGTGGAACACTGGAACAGGTTGCCCAGAAGTGCTGTGGATGCCCCTAGAAGTGTTCAAGGTCAGGTTGGATGGGGCTTTCAGCAACCTGATCTAGTGGCAGATGTGGATCTTCCTCCATGGCAGGGGGAGCAGAACTAGATGATCTTTAAAGATCCCTTCCAACTCAAACCATTCTATGGATGTCTTTCTGTCTGCAAGAGACTTCCAGGTTCAGTTGTAAGGCATGTCTATAGAGAATACCAAATATTAAGTAAGCTATGACGAAAGATTTACTGTCCTTTTTAAGGCTGAATAGACCTATGCACCCAAATTCCAGAAAAGCCAGCCTTACTGGCACTCCTACATGATCCAGACCTATTTATCTACATTTGAAATCTACCCAAGCATCTTTCTCCATGATTTGCAAAGTTTTGTTATGATATGTGGATTTACCCTGTCTGCTATGCAGAAGTAGGAAAGATTCATTTCATATCTAATCCAAAAATCCTCCAGGGAGCAGTCTGCTTTTCTCTTATCTGCTCCAAACTGTAACATGGAAACAGATTATTTTACCTATTGCATCTAGTTTTGGATCACCAGAAGCACAGCAGGGACTTGGCTCCCTTCTGTAGCAAGTAGTCTCGCTGTGGGAGGATGAGAAAACCTTCAAAATCGAGAAAGCAGAGACAGAGCTACAGAGCTCTGCTTTGCTCTTCCCGCTTTTGCCAAGTGATGTTTTGTCTTAGCATTTCACTACTTCAACACACACAGCTACAGCCCCGTACAGAGAATACACCCCCCCACCCTCAAAACCTTAGATCATAACACCACTAGCTCCACATAGCGGGAAGGAAACCTTCACATCAGAGTTTCTGCAATTACCCTGACACGTTAAAGGTTTAAGAGACTCTGCAGAACCTTGGAAGGCAACACAGCCCAGGCAGAGCAGAAGAGGTGGCATGCTTTCTTCCCCTGTTTCCCGCTCTCCACCTGGTAGATCACTGCTCTCCTGGTAGCCCTGCTAGAAAACAAGGCATTTTCAGATAGCTGACCCTCTACTCCCAGTAATTCTTTTCAAGGCAAGTCTTTTGAGTACTGGAAAGGTGTTCTTGCCCTAAAAAAGAAATCTAGTGCTTAGCCTACCAAGTCTTTTAACCCAAATACGAGAACTCACATATAAATCTGACGGAAGTTTTCCTATTAAACAATGCTTATCACCTAAAAGGTAACAGTTTTGTACCCAGTTGTGTTTTGTTTCCATTAAGATTTTT